TGGGGCCCTGTTAGAAAATAAGCTTTTACATGTGAGGCATGGTTTCCCATGCTCTGGGGAGGCAGAAGCAGGTAGATCTCTGAGTTTGAGGCCAGCATGGTCTACATAGTAAATTCCAGGACAGGCAGGCCTATGCAGGGAGACCCCGTTTCAAAACGTAACAAAAATCAAATAAGCTGCTACCCATTTTTTCTCTTATCTCTTGTCCCAACTCAAAATAACTATCACTCCTAATTCCATTTTCATAATTTCCTTTTGTTTTTAAGTTTTATGGCATCTGTATGTGTTTTATATATATAAGCATACACATTTCTATTTTTAGTTGGTTTTTTTTTTTACCTAAAATTATATTATGATGAAAACATATAGCATAAAATTTACCATCTTACCCTTTACGTTTGTAGGGTGTTTTGTGAGATAGGCTCTTGCTATATAGGGTTAAACTCCTGACCCTCCTGTTTCTATCTCTTGAGTCCTGAGATTTATAGGCATGTACCCATTATGCTGGGCTTGGCTTGTTTTATTTTTTTTTCTCCTCCTCCTCCTCCTCCTCCTCCTCCTCCTCTTCTTCTTCTTCTTCTTCTTTTGGTGTGTGTATGTGTGAGTGTGTGTGAGATAGAGATATAGGGTCTCACTATGTAGCCCTGACTGTCCTGGAACTCACTATGTAGACAAGACTGGCCTCAAACTCATAGAGATCCTCCTGCCTCTGCCTCTCCAGTGCTAGGATTAAAGTCATATGCCACTACACTTGCCTTCTTTCTTTTTCTTTCCATTTATTTATTATTTAAAATTTTTTCATTTTACATACCTACCACTGTTCCCCTTCCCTCACCTTCTCCTGTCCCCCTCCCTCCCTTCTTTACTTTTTTTAATGATTTGTTTTTATTTTATGTGTGTAAGTGTTTTACTTGCATGTATGTCTGTGTTTCACATTTGTGCCTGGCGCCTATGGAGTCCAGAAGAAGGCATTGGATTCCTTGGAGCTGAAATTACAGACAGTTGTGAGCTGCCATGTAGAGCACCTGAATTGAACCCAGGTCCTCTACAAGATCAACAAGTGCTCTTAACTGCTGAGCCACCTCTCCAGCCTCTTGGTTTGTTTCTTTTTTGGGGAAGGGGTTTTGAGACAGGGTTTCTCTGTGTAGTTTTGGTGCCTGTCCTGGATCTCACTCTGTAGACCAGGCTGGCCTCCAACTCAGAGATTGCCTGCCTCTGCCTCCTGAGTGCTGGATTAAAAGAGTGTGCCCCTGCTGCCTGGCTTTGGTTTGTTTTCTAATGAGAAGATGGGTTGGTTTACTTTGTAGAGTGAGGAGTTATTTGTTCATGGTTACATCTACTTAAAATTTTACTTATTTTTATTACTATTATTATTGTTGTGTTTGTGTGAATGTGGGCATGCCTTTGTCATGGTACATCCATGGAGGCCAGGGGACAGTTTTAGGGAGTTGGTTTACTGTTCACCGAGAGCTCTAGGCATTAAACTCAGTTTTTCAGGTTTGTACATCAGGTGCTTTGCTGGATGAGCCATCCTACTGGACCTACATCTACTTCTTGACAGAATGTCACCCTGTCACTTCTCTGGGACACTTCATCCAGGTAGAATATCCCTGGGCAACTCATATCTGTGTGTCTGCCAACACAAATATATTTATCCACAACAATAGTTTATTATGCTTAAAGTTAGAACTGACCGCACATACTACTTAGTTATAATTGATAATGCTGTTCCAAAGGTTTGCCTCTTTTTCTGCTTATTAATTCTAGTGTTAACAGAAGAAAAAAGTTAAAACATTTTTATGTATCTTTGTGTGTGATGTGGGTGGGTATGTTTGCGTGTGTTGTTTGTGTGTGTGTATACATGTGTGTAGAGGCTGAGGGTGACATCCAGGGTCTTCTTCCCTCAGTTGAAGTCAGAGTTCACTGCTAGTCTAGTCAGCACAACTGTCTCCTGTGATCCCTTACCTCTGCCTTCCCAGCTCTGGAATTACAGGCAGGCTGCCAGGTCCACCTGGTGTTTACTTGACTTCCAGTTTTCACTTGTGTGGGATAAGCAGTTTATCCACTGAGCCATCTCTCAGCCTTAAGACATTTTTTTATTTTTTCTGAAGCCAGGTACTTTTAGTCCCAGCACTTGGGAGGCAGAGGCAGGTGGCTCTCTGTGAGTTCCAGGACTACCTAGAAAGTTCCTGGACATTCAGGGCTGCAGAGTGAGACCCTGCCTCATCGCCCCTCCCCTCCAAACAGGTATTTTTTCATATGATAGTATTTTTTGTTGTTGTTTCTTTTATATGTTAGTGTTTTGCCTTCATGTATGTGTGTGTACCACAGATGTATTTGGTGCTTGCAGAGGTCAGAAGGTATCAGATCCCCTGTAACGAGTTACAGATGGTTGTGAACCACCATGTGGGTGCTGGGAACTGAACCTGGGTCCTCTGCAAGAGCAACAAGGGCACTTAACCACTGAGCCCCTCTAAACATGTTTAACTTTACTTTTTCCTTGTGAATTACCAGCCACACACTCATCATTTCCTGTTTTCTAGTATCAAGGCTCAGAAAAGAAGGGTCCTGCTGCGTGTCCCAGGCTTGTACAGCTTCTGTTTAATTCAGAGAAACTCCATTTTTTCAAACAGTAGTTACCAGGTTAAGGGCAACTTGTTTTTAATCATATTTTATTTCTTTTCCTAAAAATTGTTTGTTTTTGAGATTGTATTTTAATCACAACATTTCTCCAAATCCTCTCATATATTCCTCCCTGCTCTCCTTCCAATTTGTGGCCTCTTTTTTCATCAGTTGTTATTGCAGGCATGTATGTATTTGTAGATACATATATATTCCTAAAAACAACCTGTTGAGTGTGTATAATTTTACCTGTATGTTTGTATGTGTGTATGTTTGTTTGTTTGTTTGTTTGTTTGTTTGTTTTCAGGCCTGACCATTTGACACTGGACTACCAATTGGGGCGTCCTTCCCTGGGAAGGATTACCTCTCTTCCCAGCTTTACTCAGTTGTAAGGGCAGCTCTTAAGTCCTCATAGGGATCCACCTCTGGGTGCTGGGGATTAAAGGTGTGTACCACCATGGCTTTTCATTTGGATACAGGTCTGACAGAGTAGCCCCAGCTGGCTTGAGCTTAGGATGCTCTCCTCAACCTCTTGCGATGATAGGATTATTGGCCTCTGCCGTCAGGCCTGGCATATCTTCTTACTGTGAAAGCCTGTTTGTTGGGATATGCCATAGGGGAAAACATCTTCCCAAGTTTTGACATAGAGCAAATTGGAATGCAGTTCCCTATGCAGTGATTTCATTTTATCTCCAGATGAAACAGCTGAATGGTTTCAGATGAAACAGGTGAATGGCACTCTTACTCATGCATTAAAATAGCTTAGATGCTGGGCTCTCCTGGGTGGAGACCTTTGAGGAGACCAGGATAGAAGCTGTTCTGACCCTCAGGGAGCTGGCCAGTAAGTGCCTGTGACTGGCAGGCAACTTTGAGAGGTTTTGTATTTCTCTTGAATTAATCTTTAAAACAATAATACTGCTTAAGTGTTTGTTATAAAAAGCAACTAATTAAAAACACTAGTATTTCAGGAATACAGGTTTGGATGTATTAAATAATGAAAATTCCAAATTTGCTAATAAGTACATGTCTGCTGAGTATTGGAAGTCCAGTATTAGTTTAGAAAATACAGTTTTGGAATAGGTAATACTTAGGTTAAAAAACAAACAAACAAACAAACAAACAAAAAAGTTTTAAAAGACATGGACATGGTGTTTACCTTGTGCAGCCACCAGAGACCCTTTGGCATTTCCAGGTATCTATCTACTTTTTGTCTGTTTGTTTTGAGACAGGGCCTCTCTGCAGCCCTGGATGCCCTGGAACTCACTGTGTAGGCCAGGCTGGACTGGAATTCAGAGATCCTACCTGCTTCTGCCTCCCAGATGCTGGGATAGAAAGTGTGCATCATTATTCATGGCAGGTGCCAAGTTTTTAAAAATTTATTAGTTTGTGTGTGTGTACACATGGGTGTGCAAGCTGCCCCAAAGCATGTGTGGAGGGAAGTCAGAGGACACCTTTTGGAAGTTGGTTCTCTTCAAGGTTCTAGGGATCAAAATCAGGTTGTCAGGCTTTCTCCTACTGAGCCATCTCCCCAGTGCCAAGTGTTTGTAGCCCATCCTGTGTAATAGCAGTAGCTGTCAAGATAAGTACTGTCACTATTCTGTTGACAAGTATGGATGCAATGCTATCTCAATTTCTTTGTAACTTATAATTGTAGAATGTACTTCCCCTGCCCTACCTACTTACTTATTCTTTTTTTTTTCCCCACTCAAAAGCAGTTTTAAACATACAGAGAAGTTGCAAGAATAGCCATTCAGGAAGCTGAGGCAGGGGGAATTCATGCACATGCACACACATACACAAGAGAAAAGTTTTTTTTTTTTTTTTAAAAAAGAGAGAAATAGAATGGGCAAAGGACATAGCTCAGCTGGGAGAGAGTGCTTGCCTGGCATGAGTGAGACCCTGGGTTCATCCTCTTCCCTGTCTGGCTGTAGTGGCCTCCTGCAATCCCAGGAAACGGAGAGCTGCTTTTTAAGGTCACCCTGGGCTATATATTCAGTTCCAGATCAACCAAACTACATGGGGCCCCATCTGAACAAAGGAGTTGGGATGAAGGAGGAGGAAGAGGAAGAAAAAAGAAAAATGTAAAAAACAGAAGAAAGAATTCCAGAAATTCTGGAGTTCCCACTTGTGGTTGTCATTGTTGTTGTTTCGGTTGCAGTTTTAATGTTGACAAAGAAAATCAATTATTACCCACACTGTGCATTTGGGGCCAGACTATTGTAGAAAACGGTGCTGTGTGTGTTCTTCCTGACGCGCCTCACAGGCGGCACACAGTTTGTTCCATTAACTGGAGAAGGGGAGGGGAGAAGGGGGTGGAAAGAAAAAAGGAGTTTGCTTTTCAGAGAGCGCTCTATTTAGCAAATGCCATTTCCTTCTAGCATCCTGGTGGGGAAGAGGTTCTGCTGGAACAAGCTGGTGCTGATGCAACGGAAAGCTTTGAAGATGTTGGCCACTCCCCTGATGCCAGGGAAATGCTAAAGCAGTACTACATTGGTGATGTCCATCCGGTAAGAACTGTCGTATAACTCAGTCACTTATGCAGAGAAAAACTACTGGACAGCCACTAACAGGATGAGAGAATGAATTATTTAGAGTAGAAATTCATTCAGCCTAGCCTCAAGCCTGGTTTTCTCCAGAATCATCAAGCTACACAGGAAAAGCCAAGGGAACTAACTGGTTTTTGTCTTCTATTGACTGGTTTTTGAATTACTAACACCTGTTCCTGAGATAGTGGTTTGGTTATTAACTATGGACTTGTAAGTCCTATGCTTATAGCCTTCTAATAGGGGATCCTGATATACTAAAGGGTGGAGCTGGGCCCCTTCTTCAGACCCTGAAATCTCTGAAGAATAGGAACTAACACATCGCTGGAGTTCATTTAGATCCATCTTTAACATTGTTCTCTCTCTCTTTTTTTAAACAGAGTGACCTTAAACCCAAAGGTAGTAACAAGGTAAGAAGTCATTACTTTGTCTTATGAGTGTCAAGTATTTCTTCCTTTCTCTCTTTTAAAAAAATTTTATTTATTTATTTATTGAGACAGGGTTTCTCTGTATAGCTTTGGAGCCTGTCCTGGAAGTCACTCTGTAGACCAGGCTGGTCTCGAACTCACAGAAATCCGCCTGCCTCTGCCTTCCGAGTGCTGGGATTAAAGGCGTGCACCACCACCACTGCCGCCCAGCGAGACTCCAAAGTATATTTATTGTAGTTTTGAAAGAAATTAGGTTATGGGTTCAGTTTGGGAGAAAATCTTATTCTTACTTATATAAAACATGATAAATGCTCTGATTAAATTGTTTTCTGCAAGATACCTTCTTTATCTATAAACTAGAGGCCTTTCTTTCTGTCCCTATTTCCCCAGTTTAATTTTTTAATTCTGTATGCTCAAACTGTCCCATGCCCTTCCCAGTTTGCTCACTGATGCAGCCAAAACAAAAGATGCAGTATTGAGTATTTGAAAACCTTAATGTACTTTGCCTTATGTACCAAGAAGAAAGCTTAGAAACCTTTTCTGCTTCCCACAAGCAGGGTGGTGTCATTGCCAATGTTTTCTTCACTTTCCTGTGACTTCTGTCCTTTAGAAGGTTATTACGCTGCCCTCTGACCTCCAGGGAGAGCAGTCAAGGTGTTCCCTAGCTCCTGGTGCACACAATAGAGACTCCCTCATTCCTCCTTCTAGATTCTCATTCTTCATTGAGCTAGGAAATGATGAACAGGTTTGGCACAGCAATTTGAACTGGCCTTGGCACAAGAATTCTTTCAATTCAAGAGATTGCTTGCTTGGCAGTGTCTGCCTTCTGTTGCTCTGGAATCCAGATGTTTTTATAAATTAACCCTTCTGTCTTGCTCCTATGCTACTCTGAACTGTTAAATTACAAAGGCAGATGAAATGCTCTGAAACATTTGTAAGCACTGGTGGTTGCCTTTGTCCTTCCCTCCTCACGCCTTACCCATTCTTCTCTCCTCTTGGGACATTAGGGTAAAATTTGAGCTAATTGTGGCCTCAATTGAACATGTTCAGAAAATGCCACTCTCAGTTCATTTCATTCAAAGGATACTATAATTTTTTAGAAGAAACACACCTTGAATTTAGCAATCATAAAAGCACTCTTTTTTTTTTTTTTTAAACAGGGATTCTCTGTGTAGCTTTGGACCCTGTCCTGGATCTTGTTCTGTAGACCAGACTGGCCTCAGACTCACAGAGATCTGCCTGGTTCTGCCTCCTGAGTGCTGGTGTTAAAGGTCTGTGCCACCACCACCCAGTGAAAGCACTCTTTATGTTAAAAAGTAGAAACATATTTTGTAGTTACTTTGTCTAGAAATCTATCAATTGTTTCTTGTTGCTAGTTTTCTTTCTTGGTAATAATAATAATAATAATAATAAACCTGGAGGCCATTAGGAACCTTTGTGGGGAGTGGACAGCAGTGTTCCAGAAATTCTGTTGCTTACATCAACCTAAATTGGGATCCCCTGGAATGAACATGAAAACACAAATCAAGTGTTCATTTCCTGGTCTTTGACTATTCCTGTTCAGAATCGGTACAGTTGCTGGATTTGTATTTTGACTAGCCTAGGTGATAGGAAGGAAGCCAAGCGCCACACTTTCTGCTGAACACTGTGCCTGTCATTGCTTTTGAAAAGAGATTGATTAGCTGACATCAAACTGATGGGCCTTGGAGTTTTTGTTGTTGTTGTTGTTCCATGCAAGAAGTATAGAAAAAGCCTCTGCAGGCGGTGGTGACGTACAACTTTAATCCCAGCACTCAGGAGGCAGAGCCAGGTGGATCTCTGTGAGTTCGAGGCCAGCCTGGTCTACAAAGTGAGATCCAGGACAGACTCCAAAGCTATACAGAGAAACCCTGTCTCAAAAAAACAAAAAAAAAAAAGAAAAAAGAAAAGAAAAGAAAGAAAAAAGAAAAAGCCTCCTCAGCTTGCCAAGTGTTCTGATAATTTAGAACTACAACTGTAGTGTCGCCCCATCCTAGGTTAGGGAGGGATGGAAAGCTGGGCTTTCAAGCCTGTGTTTCTACAGCTCCTTGTTCCCAGGGGATCTGTCTCCATTAGGATGATTCTGGTTGTTTGTTTCCAGTCAGGCTGTCTTTTACTCTTCAGGCAAATTACGCAAAGAAAGCCTTTTGGAAAAATTTCAAGACTACCTACCAGGTTTTCACAGAATTATATTCCAAACTGATTTTCTTTTCCAGGAAGAAATTCTTGATCCCTCAGTTTATTTCTGTGCTTGATGTTACCAAAAAGGCTGAGAAGCAATCTGGTTTCTCACAGGTTGAAACTTCTGTCCTAGGATATAGGTATCTCTTTTCTTCGCTTTTTTATCTCTGGTTTAACATTCACCGTCAAGAAGTGGGAGGAAAGCTCATTTTATTAATTAGTTTCTTTTCTTGTGATTCGGGGTTTCTGAATCTGTAAGAAATGATTTTTTAAGTTTCGTTAAGCAGAGCCTTCAGCTTTATAGGGTGGGGTTTAGTTTACTTCCTCCTTTTCCTTCTGTGGATCACTTCTCCCCACCTTCATGGAGCCTCTGCGCTCTTCCCATGGAGTGGGGGAGCAAGACAGAACCAGACACATGACTGTCTCTGTTTGGGAGTGTGAGTCAGTTTCCATTCCCAGTCTTCTCGTTTGCTTGTTTGTCAAGGTCTGTCATATCTGCTAAGGACGACCTTGACCTTCTGACCCTCCTGCCTTCCCTTCTGGAGTCACTATGCCCAGTCTTTGCTTCCCAATTCTTTTAGAAGCCGGTTTTCATGTTACTTTTACTAAGGCACAGGTAAATAAGTGGTTATGGTCACTATTGTTTATTTGTAGATTCATAATACCCTCGTTGATAGCCTAGATATACTACGATATAAAATTTTTAAAGATTTGTAATTTATAAATTTGACAACAGATATCACAGTTTCTTTTTTTTTTTTTTAAAGAATTTTCTTTTTTCTTTTTTTTTTTTAGATTTATTATTTATTTATTATGTATACAGCATGTATGACTGCAGGCCAGAAGAGGGCACCAGATCTCATTACAGATGGTTTTGAGCCACCATGTGGTTGCTGGGAATTGAACTCAGGACCTCTGGAAGAGCAGTCAGTGCTCTTAACCTCTGAGCCATCTCTCTAGCCTTTGTTTTTGTTTTTGAGATCTGGAACTCAAAGAGATCTGACTGCCTCTGCCTCCCTAGTTGTGAGATAAAAGGTGTGCCATGATGCCTGGATTTAGTCAGTAATAATTATACCCAGCCAGATGTGCCTGAATACCAAAAGAATAAACTAAATTTATCTGTAGGCTGTAGGA